ATATATATATATATATATATATGCATAAAGTATATATATTTACACACGCATACCTACGTGTACATAATATATTCAACACACTAAAATATTGCTATATATGACTAAACGTGTACATCTATGTACGTATATATACTATAGATAAGTATAAACAGAGCATAAGCTCACGCTGGGTGTGTGTGTACCAGATGATCTTCTTCTTTGGACTCAGAGGAAGTCAAGGTCAAATAATTGCTACTATGGTTTCAAAACAGAATCAACATGTTATCATGCTGCTTTTGTTTTAAACACGTATTAACTTGCTTTTCTGTGTATTGCAGTACTTCATCCTCAGATGGTGTGTCGAACTCTGTATCACTTGCATAATATTGTATAATGCTGTATAATGCAGTGCTTAGATTGAGGTTGTGGAGATGCACTTGTATAGCAGGCTTGGTTAGGCATTTAACAGCCTCTCTGGCTCTCTCCATAGCAGGCATTGCCTCCGAGAGTTCTTCGTCTGCCTTTTGCTGGATTGCAGCTGCCTCTTCACTGAGTTGATTAGCTTTGTCTTTTTCTGTATTTGCAATGACAGCCTCTTCATCTGCAATGGCAGATGCCTTCAGCACTTGTTCAACCAGCGCGTCCGCTGCTGCTTTCTTCTCATCGGCGACGGCCATTTTTTCTTTTAAGTCTTCACGGAGCCCTTCTACTTCTGCTGTTGTTTCTTTCAGCGTAGTGAGACCTTTCTGCAGCCGTGCTATTGAAAGGTCTGCCTCTTTTCTCTTTCTCTCTAGAAACTGTTTGTAGAAGGCAATCAATTCCAAGAAGGATTTCGGAGTGGTGTAGTTGTGCCGCCTCTCTTCTCGCAAAAAGCGTTCGTTTGCACTGTCTATACTCAAGTGCACATTTGCCATGTGCTCAGCCAACAATACCCGCAAATCTTCAGTAGGAAGCTCCACATCTGAAACACAAAAAACAAGCTGCATGCAGTGCATTCAGTGCATATATTGCATGCAACGCATGCCACGCATGCAATGCGTGCACACACACAATGGATACACTAAATGCATTAAACGCGCTGCTTAAATAGCATGAATTGCATGCATTGAATGCATTGGGTGAATCAGGCGCTGCATACGTATTGCAGGCATTGAGTGAATTGCTTTCATTGCATGCGTTGCCTGCAGAGTATGCATTGATACAGCATTACACGCCAGGCTGGACATACACCGCATCTATTGAACGTAACGCATATAATGCTGCAGCTGCATCAGAAGCAGCAATGACAACAGCACCGCGACCCAAAGGAGCACTCGCACCACGCACGCTTGTATGCGTATAGTTCTCCTAAGAGATGACGCATCATTAATAATAATTGTAATACAATATTATATTGCCAAGCGTATTATTAGTGGCATTATAGTTTAACCCTGTCAAGCAAAAGAGACTGCACACCGACCCCAAAGCATTCAACCTCATCAAACGCAAACCCTAAATCCTAAACCCTGACCTCTAAACCTAAATCCTAAACCCTAAACCCTACATCCGAAACTCCGACCTGAAAGCGGTGAAGCTCGAATCCTATTCTTCAAACTCTAAACCCAAAACGCTAGGCCCTATACCCTAAACCCCAGACCCTGCTCTTACCCTGGAGGAAGGCAGTGCCGGTTTGCACGAGTGCATCTCTCGACCAAGGATGGAATTCATCGATTGTCGTTCCTGAAATAAGGCCGGGGAATTTGCGAGCTCTTACGCGGAGGTGTTCACCAACAGGAGAATGACAAAGGATGAGGTGGACATTGGTTTGCACTTTGTCTGTAAACACCTCCATCATGGCTTCTCGCGTGTTTGCTGCAGCTCCAGGGCGCAGTTGCTTTCTATGATGAGAATAAACGCAGCAAACAAGCCCACGGGAAAACGCAACATAACACTACTTTTACAGTGCCGGAGCCGAGGGTTAGGGTGTAGGGTTTGGGGTCTGGACTCAGGACGTTAAGTTGGATGTTCTTGGCCGAAAGAACAATTGCAACTCAACTTCTAGTTGGTTGTACGGCCTACGGTTTACATTAGGATAAGACTGGTAGAATGGCTATTGCTCTTGTGAATCAGTTTTTGTGGTTTGAAGAGCTAAAGAAAGGGGAAAAACTAAACGTTAAGAGTGCAGCACAGAGGCATCCGTGTGCATAACATATATGGGTTTTCTCCATGTTTAGGGTTTAGGGTTTATGCCTTGGGGTGTAGGGTTTGGACTGCGACGTGGCACTACTTTTGGATTTAGCTTATAGGGTGTAGGGTTTAGGGTTTTCGTTTAGCGGCACGACCATGTGTAGAGGTTACCTGAGCGCTGCGAATATTTGTTCGTATTCATCTCTTGTGAATAGATCAGGGATATTGCCTGATGCAAGAAGATCGTTTACGTAGACTAAGAGCTCTTCGTCTACTATTTGTTGGTCTGTCAGCAGCAGTGCATGCGGCGTCCCTGGCTTTACGAGGGCTTTGTTCATTAGCTCCTGCGGCAACAAAGGAAGTAGCGGCATAGAGGATACAAGGCTAATAGTAATAAGAAATAAAAGTAATGATGTTAGCTGGCCTCCTTAATCTATTTGTAGTTTAAATGCATGCGAAAACCGTTTTTGAACTCTTCACAAACTCCCGTAGATCAGGCATACCGAAAATACACGTCACGGCACACCTACTGGCTCTTTACGCACAGGTATAAAGAGAGAAGTGCAGATAGAAGCAGATAGAAACAGAGAAAGGACGGTATCAGGGACGGAAACAGAGATTGTGGCAAGAAGAAGAAATAGCAACGGACAGGGACAGGGACAAAAATAAAAGCAGAAAAAGAAACAGAGGCGGAGCCAGAAAGACAAATAGGGGCAGAGACAGAAACAGAAAAAGAGACAGACACGGAGGAGGAGACAAACGCAGAGACGGAAGGAGAGATTTAGACAGCGAAAACATATACGAAAGCGGTACAGTCACTGCCTTTTTCTGCGCACCTAAAGTGACACCAATACAATGGCACTAGTGCTGATTTAGAGGGGACAGCAGAAATCGAAGAGACAAAGACTCATGGCAAGAGACAGACACATGAGAGACGAGACAGCGAAATAAGTGGCGGACAGACGAGAGAAGAGACACAGAGACACACACGATAAGGGACACAGAGAAAAGGGTCAGACAGGCGAGATAATAAACAAACGAGACACGAGACAGATGAATAAAAAGGGAGACAGAGAGACAAAAAATGACGAGAAATAACAGACAGCCTAGGAGGCACAGAGATCCAAAAGAAACAAATAGCGCTTCTAAGGCCCCTCACCTGCATATCCAGTTTGAACGCTGCAGCGTCGTAGTGCTGGCTGACAACAATTTGAAAGGTGTCGAGTTTAGATATAAAGCATGCAAGCCTGCTGAGGCTTTGCTTTCCGCTGCCTCCAACACCAACAAGGAGAGCATTGCCTCCAGGCAAATCAATGACTCTGCATATTCGAGTCACGTGCAGCACGGCGTCTTCAAACAAAACCAAATTCATCTGCGTAAAAGTCTGACAATACTCCTCCAGCTTCTCTTCTAACACTGAACGCAAGGATTCCATGCTTGCTGCCGGTATGTACACCTGAACAAGCATCGACATCATGCACTAATTCATACAATGACACATTAAAATGTAGATGAACACACAGAGTGCAATAATGCAGTTTTCAACATATGAAAAAGGCTTTAACGAACAAAGTTAATACAATAATGCAAGTGATAAGTTTGTATGAACGGCTTCTCTGCGGGCAAGCGTATAATGTAATACCCACGGCTGGCTCCAGCATTCGCCAGTTATTTAATATTGGAAACGAATGAATACCCCAATTCAACATTATGAAGCATACCCGGTTGCTGTTTGTTTGCATGTAAGTGCAGTTTTACATTACTTTGATGTGCATTTTGCCGTCAACGATGTTAATGGTGAATAGCTGTGAAAAGTCCCAAAATACTTTATTGAAAGTTTCTGACTAACTGCCTACTGTATTACACTAATAATGTAGTTTTATGAATCCATATTGTATTGCCAGCTAAGCTAGCGTATACAGCGTCGCAGAGAGCGTTTGCTTTACATGTTTTCTTCCAGCAGGCTGTTGACGTTTTCGCACCAACTTATGTATGAATCCAAATAGTTTTAATTTTTTCAATTTGTTTATGAATCGGATTAACTGCAATACTTTAAATTTATCTTGTGAGACCAACTAATCTTCATTTTTTACTTGCTTGTACACTCCACTTATTATCCTTTTCCCCATTTGCATACCTATTCAAAGTTTGCCATCTATTCCTTCTTTGTTTGGCGTGGATTTCATTCGGTGGTAAGTCTATTACGTGTTTGATTTAACTACTATTTCTGCATACTGCGTCGTTTCCGGATGCTTCGGCCAAGAAGGAGCACATTACGTTGGGCGTTGCATGGATGAGTTCTTGGTCTTCGTCTTGGAAGTGTTTCTTTGTGACTGCTTTGAGGATATTATCGAGGGCAGTCATATCGCTTTCACATATGAGTCTGTCCCTTAGAACGCGGTTGGATTCATGCAGCCAGAGCCGAACCAGTTTAAGCCTTCCTCCTGTTGTCTCTCTGTAGAGGGAAGCTGAAGACCTCAGCACACCTTGAAAGATGTTGGAGAGATCACGGAGATTGAAGTTGTAGTGGAATTTCTTGGCGGAGTGTAGAAAGGCAGGGTCTGCATGGATTTGCGAGAAGACTTCAATTGCAGCTTGAACGACGTTTGCCCCAAGTTCAGCAACAGAAGCGTCGAAAGCCAGCAAATGATGATGCAAGATGCTGCCGTAGATGCGCTCAATGGTTTCTGCTTCCGGTTCAAAACAAGTTAAAACGGAGAAATGACGCTGCAGACGAGAACTGATATTGAATGAACCCGCCGTGGGGTTCATGCACCCCATGTACTGTACATCCACCACGTTCATTCGGTCTTCAAGATGCGCTCTATCAAACATGCTGCCGTAATCCATTAACTGACGCAGTAACTCCAAAGGAGGCTGCGTGTCGTACTTGTCTACAAAAGGCATATTTAAATCATCAATAAAATAGACTATGCGCTTGTTCCCTACAGGCCCGTACGTGTGCCCAGTGCTGCACACGCACACACACACACACACACACACACACGTACATACATACATGCTTACATACATACATACATACATGCATACATACATACATACATGCATACATACATAC